TTTATTACCATCCCATTTTAGACAAAAATCACCCCAAACATAAAGCATCACCACCACCAAAAATCAAGGCCCTTCACAAAGCAATAACACTGGCACTGCTGCAGTGGTCACGAAGGGAAATCTGGCTCACAGATCGAATTTCCAGGAATAAGCACAAAGAAAACTCTGTCTGTGAAAACCACATCACCTGTAGGAGGAAGAAAGGGAGGGGGGGAATGATTTGCAATTAAATGGGCCTCATCCACACTTGTTCTTTTTATTCTTCAGAGTAAACAAGTCAAATATTGTAAGTGGAAGCTCAAAAGCAGGGCAGGCTGGACAGCTGCCAGCTCTTGGCCGCTGTTTATGGGGTCTTATCAGCCGCAGTTGCCTCAGGACTCATTCCTGGCCTTGCCACTTAAGGAGCCGTTTTCTCTCCATATAGACCTTTATTTTGAAGGATTAGATGAAGAGAAGACTGTTTCAAAAACAAACTTACTGGCAGGAGCTTGGGATGGCAGGACTATTGCTGAATGGCAGCGAGAGCCAACCCAGCTGGCGGCACTTTGCGTTTGCAGACTGGTTTCCCCGAAGGATTAAAAAGCATTGCATTCTGTACACATCACAAAAATTCATGGATTTTAGACCTGGTTCAGATAGACTCCCAAAAACTCTCAAATTAGGAAATAGGGTAGGCTCTTTTCTTCTGATTTTCACCAAATGTTACCAGGGATATTTGGGTCTATCACATGATATTTATTACAAGGACATCAAGGCTTCTCCTTCCCAAGTGGAGTCCATGCTCATTTGCAGTGTTCCAAAGCATCTTTCCTGCTGGCTGCATTTACCAGCCAGCCCTGAGCTTGCAGCTCTCTCATTCACCGGCGTTTCCTTGTCTTGACTGTTCTTCCCACACAGGAAATAAAAAGCAAGCTTTCCCCCCCAAATACAACTTACTAGTAGTGATGGTGGGAAATGGTACTGAACATCCTACTAAATTCCTTTTTTTTTTTTTCCCCCCTGGAACTCCAAAGCACTTTAATTCCAAGATGTACTTTTATGTTTTCATCTGTGACAGAATTTAATGGCAACTTTTTAGGGTGATCAGGTAAGTGTTCAGACCAGCATACCCATACAAAATATGAGGTTATATTCATAAACTGCATATTTACTGCAATAAACACACAGGTACAACAAACTCCCAACAGAGAGCACAAGGCAACACTGCAGAGAAGGCCTTTCTCCTGGGGGCAGCTGATTTATTCTTGTTCATTATAGGTTCTTTGCCATTATTCTCTGCAGTTTCAGGTGCTAGGCCCTGATAACAAACAGGTGCTGGACACCTGATCTGGGATGGCACTTTTAATTCACAAAAAAGACAGTAAAACTGCAAATAAAAGAGTAAATTGGCAAGACTCGAACACCTTCTGGGAAAGGTGCTCCCACCGTCCATGTCACTACACATCTGCCGGGGGATTTTAAAAGGGATGTGAAGTCTGACACAGGGTTGGATTCCCCACTCTAACCACACCCCCTCTGTATCCAGGATCCCGCCTTTGGCTGGAAAGGGTGCTGTACACAACCCACTACTGAAAGCAGAGCCATCCTCAGCGCTCCACAGGTGCCAGGTTTGGACACGCCGCTCCGAAATACAGTTCTGCACTTCAGCTGCACTCGAGAGTGCACAGACAGCCCTTCCCTGCCAGTCAGCTCCGCTTCAGGACGGCTGGGAAAGCCCTCAAAGGAACAGGAACCGCTTGCAAAAGCTCAGGTCTTGCCCCATTTCAAAGGCAAATCGAGATTTGACTATTTGCACAAGGCTTTCTAAGCTGCACACGCGGTTACACAAGAGACAGCAGCTTTCTAGACCGCACACAAATGAGGAGAAGCTCATGCGGGATAAAGCACGTGTGGAAAGCAGCCGGCTCAGCAGAGTGACGGGGAGCACACTGCTTTGGGGCTGAGCTGCACTTCCACAGGCTCTGTGCGTGTGTGGATCCTGGAGAAGGCCGGGAGGCAGTCGGCAGGGGAGCCAGCACGCCTCACTCCCTGCGATCCAGATCCAGATGTACGCCAGGACGAGCTGGAGAGCAGCAGGCAGCAAAGGACTGAGCTCTGGAAACTTTATCCTGCATTACCGAAAGCCCTGCTGAGCGAACACCAACTTGCTCTTACATAACCCCCCCATTCCGGGGAAGGAGCAGCAGCCAGGAGATAATGCCCGTAAGGAGGATCACACCTAATTCCCGGCAGCCCTACACCAAACCACCGCTCCTACCCCGCTGCTCTTTGGATGAAGTGCACCGGAACGTGGAATTCTGGAACGCAGAAGATGGCAGCCTGCTTGCCAAGGAGAGAGAGCCGAGGCCTGGAGATAGAGCCGTGCGTGCCTGCACGGAGCTGTGCTGAAGTTTACGGGCACATCCCAAAGCGCCACGACCCGCTGTAAGCTCACTGCCGACATAAAATGGCACTAAACCCAAGCTGATTTAAGTTAAGACAGCAGAGTTTCTGTGGTAAGAAATACTCCCTGTCCACAGCCCAGAGGGAAGAACAGTAGGTTAGGAGATCACAGGTGATCTGGTCAGCAGCTAAGAGGACAGCACTTGTCAAATCCCTGCTTTTGTTTGCAATGCTGGTCTCTCTCAGAATAAGAGCCAAGATGATATTCCTCAGGCCGGGAAGAGAAATAATTGTTTATTTACACAGGGAGTTCCTATCAGGGCTGACCCTCCTCACCCGACACTGGATAAATGCTCGGAGCCACTGTGGGAGAGGAACAAAAGCCTGGGCAGAGTGGCCACAGCGCAGGGCTCTGCATCCCCAGCAAGGCCAGCATGGGTGTCCCCGAGCGCGGAACAACAGGGTGCAGTGCCTCGCTGCCATCACCCAGCCTGGGAGACACCACGTGCTCCGGCCCATGGCACCTCTGGCTGTGCTCCAGAGGCAGCTGTAAAAGGAGCGGCAGAGCAGGCTGCAAGAAGTTTATAACAGGAATGGCAAAAAGGACGGCTGCTTTAGGTGTCCCCTGCTCCCCCCCCCCATGTGCTCCTGCTCTGGAGAGGCCTCCTCGCTACAGCTGCTGCACCACAGCCTCCAGAGGGCTGATTTTTATGCATATTCACCCAAATTTTACTCAGCCCAGGGGGCCAGTGCAGCGTAAGCTCCATCCCGAGCCCCAGCCCAGCCGGGTGGTGCAGGGCAGGGGGGGTTCACTGCCCGGGGCGGGGGTGTCATTGGGCAAGGGGGTGTTCACTGCCCGGGGATGCTCCTGCCCACCCAACCACAGCTAGCGCAAGGAGGGAGCCAGCCCGCTGCTCCCTCCCTCTCTCCCAGGGCTATTTTCAGAGGGAATAAAGCGGCAAACAAGGAGCGGGGCGGGCTCGCGGCCGCGCTCTCTCTCACCTGCTTCACCTGCAGATCCACCACCGTCTGGAAGACGTGCGCTACCAGCAGGGAGATGCTGGCGATGAGCAGCGTCATGGCCAGGACTCCCACGGTGACGAGGCACAGCGACTTCATGGCTGCGGCCGCTGCTGCTGCTGTCGCCGCCGCCGAGCAGGGACAGCCCGAGCTCCGCCGGGCTCCGGGGGCGGGCGGACACCGAGCCCCGCCTGCCCTGGCCGGGAGGAGCCGCCGCCTCCGCCCCGCGGGGCCGGGGGGGGGGACCGCGGCTCTCCCGGGGGATGCTGCCCCGGCTCACCGGGAAAGGCTGGATGTATCCCAAAATAACTGCGGGTTCGCTTCCTGCCCGCCAGCCCTGGCACAGCCGGAATCTTCCCGTGTGCTGGCGATGGGAGCGCCTGAGTGTGCCCCGCTCCCTCTGCACCGTCACGGGGTTTGCTGGGAAACGAGCGGAAAAATTCTCCAGCCAGATTATTAGGGAAAAACTTGTAGGGGGCGTGAAGCTTCACGGGGATCGGATTCTGCCACAGCACAGCGCGTTTCGGCTGCCACTACCACACTTAAGCCACTCCTAGGACAGAAATCAAATCAATACATCAATTTCTTTAAAACACGGTGGGAGGTTATTTCCCCACCTTCCCACCCATCACTGCCAGCGGGAGGCAAAGACACCCGCACCAGGGGCCAATCGCTTTCCATCGGCGGCACAAAAAGAAGGAGAACCTCCCCCGGACACAGGGCTCCTGTGCCATCACCGAGCTTCCAGAAGCACTAGCATTTCCCAAGCCCATGAGTCAGTTCCCTCTCCAAATCACGAGAGACTGGCAGCTTGCCAGCAGCACGCTGATCCAAATAATGCCTTCCCTAGCAGAGGGCAAGTGGCCCATCAGGTGGATTTCCTGCTAAGATGGACTGAAACCATTTTCCTTGATAAATTTTTCTTCCTGCCATTGTGACTGCAGTACCAGTGTTATGTTAATATGTGCCCTTTTGGGTATTTTTGTTTAGAAAAGGTTCTGAGGTCACATTTCACAGTTGTTTGGAAGACCAAAATTTTTGTGGTTCCACCCATGCAGTAATAATAATAATAAAAAAAAAAAGTCCTGGCAGCTTGTTTTTATTTAGATTCCCATTCCAGCGTGGTGTTCTTAGCCCTGTTTCATCATTATCTCTCAAAAAGAAAAAAAACCCAAACCCCCAACCAAAAAAACCCAAACGACAGAGCACATAATTAGAATCTGGTTTTAAAGGCTAATTTAACTACAGTAGTAGAATTCTTCCCTTAGAAGTTGTCTTCCATGGGAATTCTCTCTCTGAAACCATAAAGCTTCCCTTCCACCATAAAATATTGGCCTTTGGTGGGGACCAGCTGCAGTGACAATTTTTACAAGCCCTCCTCCTGCAGCACATGAAACACATTTTCCACGGCTGCTGAAACAGCACAATGAAGAAATTTTTCTTGTCTCACCTCAGGTAGTTTAACTGCTCCATGACTTCCGTTTTCCAGGGAGGATCTCCTGATGCACACGCTCCAACGTCAGGGCTGTTGTCCCCAAATCAGAGATAAATACAGGAGCACAGGAACATGCAAGACCAGGAATATACAGCAGTTCTCCAGTTACGCAGAGCCATTTTTATCAGAACTACTTTCCACAGCCATCAGGCAATTCTTTATTCATGATGTTGAAGAACATGCTGGTTTATCTGAGCACTGAAACCCTGGAAAATCAAAAGAAAGGCAGGAATATTTAAGAAATTCTGTCTTAATTGGGAGATATTTTAGTTTTTCAAAGGCTAACTTTAGTTTGGTACTGAAACAGATCAAGGATCCTTGCAGACCACGGGATCACTGAAACTCTTTTTGCTGAACCCTGGCATGACTATTTATAGCTCAAGCAAAGATTTCTGCAGAATTTTGTGTTTGCCTCATTCACTATCTCGGTTTATTTTTCTATAAAAGTCTACCCATGTGATGCATAGAACCACATCCTTTCTCCGTGTAGATTTTTTAGACTCTCAGTGTGAATTTTTTTTCTTTTTTTTTTTTGGACAAATTATTTTCCTTCGGAAATCAAGGAAGTGCTCACTGGCCAGGACACATTGAGAATATTCCCGTGAGGAGCAACTCCACCTCCGAAGTGCAGCACAGGAATGCAGTGGGTGCACTGCTGGCTCAGGGCACAATCCCGTCTCGCAGCTGCAGATCCCTGAAACAAGCAGAGGCACATCTTCCCTTTCCAAAATCACGATGACACTACAAGTAAGAGAGGCAGACCAGGCCTACATTCTGGAAAGCATGTAGGTGATGAAACAGCCCTGTCCCATGCACTGGGAATATCCTGAAGAAACATAAAAAGCCAAACTTACTGAGCCTGTCAAGTGGCTTCTTCACTCTGTGCAACACCAGTTACTCAGCTCCTTGGGGTCTACGTAGGGAAGGGAAAAGCTTCTCAGGGAAGGAATTAGGAAATCACAGAGCACAGTATCAGACAAATCAGAACAGATCCCAGAAATCCTTAATCCTGCTCCTGGGGTTTAGTAACTATCAGCCATTTCTCCAGTGAATGTCTCGTGCTGGCCACAATAAAGGGTTGGAACAGCACACAGAAGGAGTGGGGTGTTTTTCTTTGTCTCTGTGTGCATCCATGTCACTCCATGCATCTTCAACATCCCAGATAGGAATCGTGCCTGTCCTTACTTCAGCATTTGGTGCTACAATCATCTGCCCATGCTGCCAGACCTGTTCACACCACGTCCGACTGGATCCAGGTCTTGCACTGCTTCCTCTGGGAGCCGTGACCCGAGGGCACACAGACACAAAACACTAGTGGAGTTTCCTCTCAACACTGAGAATGCAGCTGCAACTACAGAAGTGCTTTACTTAATAAATGCTCTACCAGTTTCTGTCTTACCTATCTACAACTTGGCTTTCAGAGGCTTTGCTCTTCTGCTTTCCCTGCACAGCTACCACACGTCCCCGTCATCAATGAACTCACACACACTGGGTATGTTTCTAGTACTCCATGCTTAATTAATAAAATAATAACCTAATTATAAGATCCTGATTTCAGCTGAGAGTTGAGACATTTGTGAAAGGTTTCAAAGTGGGTAGAGATCGCATTTCACTGTCTCAAGCTTTAATTTATTCTTCCCACACAGTGCAAATTAAGTGCTGGCAGGAAAGCAGTTCACTATGGGGCAGAGCCACACTGCTATTACCAGGACCATCAGCGACCTTGCAGGAGGGCTGGGAGCAAAGTTGGGGCTTGTGTAAGAGCAGCCTTTGCTCTTGGTCAGAACTGCCAGATTTGGGACAGTGACAACTCAGGAGACGAGGGATTTGCCTACAGCACTTAATTTTGCTGTGGAGGAAATTAATCTTTTAACTATTACCAGAACAGCAGCAAAAATGCTCTTCCCTCTTAAATTTGGGCCTGCTTGACTCTCCTCTTTTTGACACTCTCCAGTTAAATAACCACAGTCCTCACGGATTGTAAGACACAGACAGACAGACATGTCCTAACTGTGATACAGATCACGTAGCACATTTTACAACGGCACACACACAGAGCCATATTCCTCATAATCTGAGTTACACCAGAATTAGCAAGGGCAGCCACTCACACCCATCAGCTACTTCTGGTTTCGTTTGCTGCTCCCCTGACTCACCGGCTGCTTCTGCACATGGAGCCTTGTGACTCGGGGGTGCCAAACTGTGTCTGCATCGCTGCAGGCCACCCCTCCCTCACTGCTCCCCTTCACCCACATTCCTCCCCTCACTCAGCTCCGCTTTCTTCCAAACCTCACCCTGAACCCCACAGTTCTGTGTGGGGTTTTCAGCACTGGCACGGAGATGAATCCAGGGCACTCCTGAGCTGGACGTGGCCAAGGAACCACACTATGGGATGGGGGGGGGGTGCAGGAAATAGATTTTGGGGTGGGAGAATGTCACTAGGGGCTGTCAAATAGATCTTGCTGGGAAAGGAAGGCAAGGAAGCTGCAGGGCATGCACTGGGATGGATGGGAGGCTCTGGCAAGCGGCACTGTCTGGATAACCTGCTCAAGGTTTGCTGAGGGCCTGGCTTGCAGTGCCAAGCCCATCTAATCAGTAAAGCTCCTGCTGCCAGAGTTTTACTCCCTTAATTCAGCTTTTAGCTGCTGCCATGCAGACTGCAGCAGGAAGAACACTGCCTTTCAAGTGCTTGATCTTATCCTCTTAAGCATTGCCCACGGAGACTGACACAACCTCTCCAAGCCCTCATTCTTCTATACAGCCCTGAGGCAGCTTCAGGACCAACCAGGTTTACTTGTCCTGCTCCTGCTGAGCACTACAAACAGCCCTGGACTGCTGGGAACACCCTCTGCACACCAAGGGACAAGCACAAGTGTGGGAGCAGCCAGGGAGGAACCAAAGCTGATATGTGCCCATGCTGCTCCCAGCATAGGAGAACCTGGCAAAAACAACCCTGGAGAAATGCAAAACCAGTCGAGGGTTTTGTTCCCTCTTTTCTTACAAACCCCCTGCCCCTCATTATTGATTAGAAACAGGAAACCAACAAAGCCCGAATCACCATAAAATTGTAACCCTGATCTTACTATATGGAGAGTCATAAGGAGCTGGCAGGTTTCTGACACAGCTGGCTAACAGGGTCAGGTTAGTCATGCAGGTCAGGTACTTTATTGGTCATACACTTTCCCATCAGTATAAGACACTGGAGAGCAGAGACTTCACCCTCCAGCCTTGAAAACCTCTCCTGATAACCCTGAACATGCCACAATTTATAAAGAATCTGTCATTCAAACAGAATAAATGGTGCTTGTGTACCTTTTCCTATAGTATGACATGTACACCTCCTGAAAAAGGGAGGATGACAGTCTAGGACCGTCAGTGGGATTTCAGGGCCCAAACCTCACAGCAGTGGGTGAACCCTCCAGCCCCTGACCCAAAGCCTCCCAGGGGAATGGGGCAGAGAGGGAGACCTGTTCCATTTATTTGCCCCATCTGCGACTCAGGCTGGCTGAGTTTCAACAACCCCACTTACTTTTAGTGAACTGTGCCAGGGAGAGCACATTTAAAATTAGCAAACCAATAACACGCATTTCCCCCACCTGTGAGTCATATCCCACAGGAATGCCACTCTGTGAAGGATGCTCCACTGGAAGATGATAAGACAGGCTCTAGGAGTCTTGTTTTCCTTTTGTTAGTCTATGCTCAGCTGCTTATTGATCTGGAAGAGTTCAGAGCAGATTCTGGCACTCAGGATGTCTGCTGCTGCAGTAAAGCCTGGATGCACACTGCCTCTCCACGCTAGTTTATTGAGGAAAAGCAGAGGTCTTGCTCCAGGGATTTTCAAAGTCCCTGCTAACTGCGTTTGAGAGGCTGCAGACCTACAATCAGAGTCTGCTTTGTTCTGAGCCTGCCTTATGTCACAGCCCGAGATCTTCCCCCGTTCCTGAAATAAACACAGGTATTGAAGGCTGCAATTACGTGATTTTGCCCGCCTGCATCACATTATGATTTACTCAGACACTGAACTAACTCTGATTAAAATTCTGCAATGTGAGTCTCTTAGCTTGAGTGGCGCCTGAGCAGCACAGCTGAGCTCTCTGGAGTCTTCCCACGCACAAAGCCCGTGGTCTCTGTCCTCAGAGTGCATCAAACTCGTTAACATAGACGAGGAAAGACCAAAAAGGCTCACACTGGGAGTCTCTCCCTGATTCCCAATGTCTACTGCACTCAAATGCACACTTGGTAGGCCCAGAAATACGGGCACAATGAGTCACCCTTAATCCCAAGCCCGGCTCCCGGATAGTCGGTGGCAGCCACTGGCAAACAAATGCTTTGTATGTCAGCCTGGATACAAACAGCTCCTGCCTGCCAGCTCACACAAGGGGGCTGTGTGTGGGACAGCCTCAGCTCCCAGCCCCAGCACTGCCTCAGGGCACGACAGGCACCAGCTTCCCTGGAAATGTGCCAGAGGAGGAGGCCTTAAGTGACCAGGGCAGGAGAAGGATGGGGGAAATGATGTGCAAGGAGTTAAAGGAACAAAGGGGCTCCTTGGGGTCTAATCCTGGGAGGAAACCTATAGAATCTCCTGCCTTAGGATCTGTTCTTAATCTTCTGAGAAGGCAGGCAAACAACCCAGCACCCTTTTGCGATTTCCAGGCCCATATGCCTTTTCCAGAATCCAGCTCCTCTGTCCCCATTCCTTGTCACGCTCGGTTGGCCCTGCCAGCCCCAACTGTGAGTATTTAACATCTTATGGCCAAAAGCAGAGCCGGGCCCTAGGGTGGGAACCACTAACCTTCAGCACAGTCTGCAATACCTTGGATAGCTCAGCTGTGTCCCCTGACTCCAAAGGGAATACTCTGGGGTAGCAAAGGAAATCCCCCCCTGGTTGGTTCTAGCATGTGACCTGGGGCTCAGGGTGCAGTCACTGCATCAAGTGCTGGCTTGTGGCTTGCCCTTTCCCCCAACACCACTGGATGGGAAAGCACTTCACGCTTTCTCCTGTCATCAGACCAAGGCAGCACATGACTAAGTGACCAGCGACATCCTCCCTCACACATTTACCTCGGGAAAGAGGAACTTGCGGGGACAGTTTCAGAGCAGGACACACAGATTTGATGGCAGCGAAACCATGTTTCAAGGCACATGAAGGACTCCTGTTGCTGCCTTATTTATATCCCTGGCTTTTTATTTCAGGGAGGAAAACTCCATAGTATCAGATACGTAATCAAATATGATTAATAATAATAATACTGATAAGAGATTAAGATTCAAATATCAAATACGTGATCAAACTTCCTCAGGTCATGAAGATAAACACTACCATCAGAGCTTACAGACTTGGGAGAATTCTTTCACAAGAATCCTCATAAGCAGTCAGGCAAAACAGAAAACAAGGAAAAAAAGCTAATTTAGGGAATTTACAACTTCATTTTGAATTATATAATGTGATTTATAACACAATTTCATTGCTTGTTGCTTTCAGTAAAGCAGCATCTAAAATAAGGGGGAATGAACACCCATGTTCAGAAACTCTAGAAAGTTTGGGTCTACGTTATCTGCTGAAAATTAAGACCACCTTAACCTCCTGAGAATGAAATACTTGCACTCAGTGACAAAAAAAGCACTATAAAAGAGTATTCAGCCAGGTTAGCGGGGAGGAAAGTGCCCCTCAAAAGAAAGGAAGCTCTCTGTGCCTTATCTCTGCTGTACTCCTCCACACAGCCTTGGCTATTCACTGAGATACACTTCACACACAGCTCAGCCAAATCCTTGCTCAGATAGCCACACTGTTATGCCTGGCACTGGATCCCAGGGAATATTTAAGATGGTACAAAAGCTGTGTTTCCATGAGCCTGCTGATGACGGGCTCTAAAGTCCCCTTCAGTGAGGACAAAAATATTCATTTCTCAGGAAAAACGTCCAGCAAAAGACATTTGCCTGGAAAGCCTGACAAGATGGGTAAATGCTGTGAGGAACAGTGGGGAATAAGACCACACTCTACCTGAGCTCCCTCCAGAACATCCACCCGGGAACTCTTCCTTCTCAGGAGCTAAAAATGCATTTCTGGTATTTTAGAATTTTAGAAGATTCTACTCACACTTGTACTTGTTTTCTCAGTGCTCTTCAGACTTTGAATTGGGATAAATTTCTGTATTACAAGTTGCCTAAAAAGAAATACTGAGCTGCCTTTTCTGCTGCATTTTTCCAAGGGCCTGACAATGTCAAGAATTGACATGGAAATCAAAGCATAATGTCTCCAGGATGTGAGACAACCGTGGCAGTCTGTCAGTGGGATTTGGCTGGAAAATCTTATTTACAATTCAACATCTATGACCTACGAAGTCCGAAATGACCTTGAGACAACTTTACATTTCACAGAATTCAGCCAAATCTATCACACTCTGTTTTAACCCTGGGAGGAGGCAAAAAGCATTCCCACTCATGGAAGGGCACGGGGAATGTGTACCAGGTAGGGAAAATGAGAATGGAGAACAGTAAAACAGAAAGTGTGCCTTGCACAGAGAGTGACTCATAAATGGAAAAAGCTGGCAAATAAAGGCTCATGGGAAACAAAGCTACAAGGAAAAGGGATGTAGGGAAAGCTGTCATTCCTTGATGTTACTGTCGCAGCACAGAAGTTCAGAGGAAGCACAGGACATGCAGGAAGAGACCCGCCAGGGCAAGCAATAAGCTCTACTTCAAACTCAAGAAAGAATTCCAAGTGAGATTACTATGGGTAAGTAGGAGAGAAAGGTATTAGACCATTTGAGTCAGCTAAGGCAAGGACAAAATGCATTATAATATGGAAAAACTCTGGTTCGCAAGCTGTGCCCTTGAAAACTGACAGAAAATCAGTCAGCTTCCTATTCAATGAGCCCCTGGAAAACACTACAAAGATGCTGTAGGGCTTCAAATGGATTCAAAGTGATCCTGACATGCTGGACAAAACCTGGAAAACAAGAACAGGGGCAAATGACTTCTCCAAGCAGAACTCCTCAGCTGAGCAAGCAGCAATTGAGGAAAAGCTGTCCAGGCAGGAATTCAGCATGGGAAGGATACAGGGATTTTGGTTGATTGTAACTATGAGCAATATCCTGGTTATGCAAAAAAAAAATAGGAAGCATCTTATCCTGAGGACAAAGACCCCCAGGAGATAACCATCTGTGCTCCTCAGCCTGGGTAAGACCTGGGTAAGACCTCTAGGGGTGATGTCTGTGTCCAGGTTTGGTCACTGTTCTTAAAAAATGACACAGTGCCTAAAGAGGAGTCCCGAGGTCCCTTTTAGCTGCCTTTGAGATTTTAACAGCTGATAATGGAAAGCAGGGGCCTGGATCTGACTGCAAAACACTCTTCAAAAAGCTAACAGCATCTGAGAAGAAGCATCTCCCCTCTGTTTGGAAAAAAAAAAAAAAGAGCTTTTCCTGCCAGCCATACTCCTCCTGTGCCACCTGCTGACTGCTGTGCAATGTTGCACAGTGCCCAGTGCTCACAGCCGAGGTACTCCAAATAATACTCCAAATAATACGGGCAAGGGGTGGGACAGAATGGCACTTAGGGCTGCGGTTTCCTCCCAGGGTGTGAAGCAGGTCCAAAGTATATGAATACTTTGCCCTTCTCATTTGTCTGCCTGCTTGG